CATACTGCAACAGCTTAGTGTCCCAAATGCTGCTTAACCAACCCCAAATGAGTTAAGCAGCCGCACCTGAATTGACAGGATATGCCAGTGCGGGAGAGCCGAGCCAAGGATAACGGGGTTTTAGTTATCTGGATGGTGTACAGATCGCACGGGACTAATGACACTGATTGAACGATCGGACTAGGTGTAGGGCAAAAGGCATGAACCTAATTGTATCCCATACAAGAAAGTGTTCATCAGGGTGGTAAAAGGATAAACCGTCGGCCCTGAAGATCAAAAATAGTTATGGACACAAAATCTACCAACAAATCATTCCTCACTGACTGGGCAAAGTGTTGTCTTTGTCAACAGGATAAGAAGGAAGATCTTAAGTCTCCACATGCAAATCCTGCCAAAAAAGATGACGGTTACAAGAACTTGGCAAGGAATATTCCTCTATTTCATTCAATCAATGCACTGCCAATCAAGCTTAACCCTGCAAGACCTGTTGAAGATGATGGGATAGAGGAGACCTTGAGGAGAAACAAGGCACAGTATCATGAGAGCTGCAGACTTCTGTTCAACAACACAAAAGTTAAATAGAGCTCAGAAAAGGCGAACCTCTGCAGTTGCTACAGAGGAGAGCAGCAGTAGCAAGATACTACTGGTCAGAGACCCCAAAACAACAGAATGCTTTCTATGTGAGGAAGAAGCTTCGAGAGATGACATAAGACATGCAATGACAATGAAACTTAATAAGAGATTGAATGATTGTGCGAAGACACTTAGCGATGGAAAACTCCTTGCCAAACTAAGTGCAGGAGATGTGGCACAAGAACTGAAGTATCACCCTCGCTGCCTGGCAGACCTGGACAACCGAGAAAGAACACACCGAAATGCTCATGAGCAAGAAGAAGCACAAGAGCTTCATCCGAACAAGGACGTATACCCAACTGCTTTCTCTGAACTGGTCACTTACATCACTCAGATGAAAGCTTCTCGTGAAGGTACTGAACCACCCATTTTCAGACCTGTTCACACTCTACAGACAGAGACTTGAGCAGCTGGGTGTTGGATCGCCTGATGTTCATGCTACTCGACTGAAGGACCAGCTGCTTCTTCACATCCCCAGCTGCAAGCTCATCACCAAGGAAGAGATATCCTACTGGCCTTTAAGAAGGATGTTGGCTCAATCCTGGCACAAGCAAGCAAATACGGTGACGCGATTCATCTGGCCAAGGCTGCTGGGATGATGCGACGGGACATGCTTCAGCACAACTCACACTTCAGCAGTACATTTCATGAAGGATGCATTGAACAGGCTGTTCCACCATCACTGCTTCAATTTGTATGCATGATCGAACATGGTGCAGATATCAAATCCCAACTCCAGCATAGCGCTTCGAAGTCTGACCTTGCTATGTCACAGCTCTTACAGTACAACTGCTTTGCCAACTACAAGGTAGGAACTCAAATCCACAGACACTCCAAGGACCATGAGACACCTTTTGCTATCTACGTCGGCAAGTAGTTTCTGCGATAGGGCCTAAGAAAGCTAGTGGGATCCTATACTTTCATGCTTTCGCTGGCTGTGACGTTGTGTCTGGCTTCCGTAGGAAAGGAAATAAATCTGCATGGCAGACATGGAGTGTCTGTGATGAAGTTTCAGAAACATTCACCAAACTCAGCCAATGTCCAACAACCGTTGTTGATGTTGACCTGCAGAAGCTGGAAAGATTTGTTGTCCTCATGTACGACAGATCTAGTGCAGTCACTGGTGTAGATGAGGCAAGAATAAATCTCTTTTCCCGCAAGCAGAGACCATATGACTCCATTCCACCAACCCAGGCAGCCCTCAAAGAACATGCAAAGCGGGCTGCCTACCAGGGTGGCATTATCTGGGGCCAGGCAACAATCTCCAATCCAGAAACCAGCAGTCCTGTCAACTGGGGATGGACGCAGAAGGGAGAGACATGACATACGTTGGACGACTCTTCCCCCGATTGCGACATGCTGTCAGGAGGTGACCAAATGTTCCTGTAAGAAAGACTGCAACCAGAGATGCAAATGCTTTCGCTCTGGACTTTCCTGCAGATCACTTTGCAGCTGCATATGAGAACAGCAGTAAATGCACAAAGATGTACTGTCAGGAGAAGTCACAAGAACAAGTGCTAATAGTGAGTTCTTTTCTTTTTGTGAAATTTTTGTTGTTATATTTTTTTACTAAAAGTGTTACTTTATGTGGAAAAATGTTACAATGGACTTAAAACTATGAAAAATCATCTGAGCATGCTTGAAAACATACATATCGACAACAAGATCACTCAGATTGACCAACTACATCAATTTCTATAAGAAAAATATACTTTTGAAGGTCAATATGGCGGCCGTCTTGAAACATGGCCGCTATCTAGGATTTTCAAATGGCCAATGAGGCAGACTTGACTAATAACCAGTAGAGAATTACCGTGCCAAATTTGGTGCTTGTATCCCCATTTGCATGATTCTCATGAAAAATTGCATTTAGCTGCCCCACTAGTATGGTTAGATAGCGTTAGGTTGATAATCATAAGCTGGAATTAACTGTGGGCTAATCTTCAGGTGGTTCAAAGTTTCAACACTTAATTTCTCATTTTTTTTCTGTTAAGTGTAATTGAATTATCTTAATAATTACCTTATATTTTATACAACTTGTTTGGATGAATGACTGATATTCTAGTTTATTTAGCTTATTTTGTCGAGTCCAGTTGCCGTAATACTGAACATTAGAACATAAGATAAGAATGGAGGAAACCGCAATGGGCCTATTGACCACTACTGGGCAGTCCAGTTTACACCAAAACCCTATCGCTCAGATATCTGTCCAACCTATTCTTGAAACTACCCAGCGTGTTCCGTTACTCTATTTCCAAACCAGAGTTTACCTTTGTCGCGCCTAAATCTAAATGTGTCTATTTAAAACCATTGCTACGAGTTCATTCCTGGTTGGATAATTTAAGTGTAAATTCAGATGCTTTAATTAGTCTCTATACTCAAGGTTCTAATGCCCTGGACTTGTCTTGTCATTCTCCTCTGTGATCTTTCTAGGGATTCTATATCCATTCTGTAGTACGGTGACCAGATCTCAACTGCATAATCCAAGTGAGGTCTCACAAGCGCAAGATATAATTTTAATGATAACCTCGCTAGTCTTGTAACTAACACTTTTGTATGAATCCTAAGTACTTTGTTAGTCTTGTTTCGAGCAAATGCGCATTCTTGTCTTGGTTTAAGATTGCTACTTATCATTACTCTTAAATCTTTCTTACAGTCGGATTTTTCTATAACAGCTTTGTTCATCTGATATCTGATTTCTCTGTTTACATTTCCTAGAGTGAGAACTTTACATTTGTTCAAATTAAATTTCATCTGCTATTATTCAGATCATGCGAAAATTTTTTATATATTTTCCTGTAGTTTTGTGGAGTCCTCGTCAGATTTAATTCCGCTCCTTATTTTAGTGTTTTAACCACTCATAGGAGCGATTTTGGTTTGTGGCAGGAGAATAAGACCCTTGTCGTTGATGCGATGAGTATAATTTGGTCAAAACCTGTTAAAGAACAGTTCACATATAACAAATGCTGGTATATCAGGACACACAGTATGAATAGTAATATCAACATAAAGTACATAACCTATAAACCTCTTAAATATAACTCATATGTTACAACTGCTGATACATGAGGACACAGTTTGTATAATATGGTCAATATACAGTACATAAATACACTTATTAAAGTTATTTAGAGTTCTTGGAGGATTTAATAGTTCACAATCACACTCACGTTTTGGGGACTAGGGTTTGACCAACGAGAACAAATATAATATCCTCTTGGTAGATGTTGGTCGAACGAAAGTTCAAGTTGTTGCCTCTGCGGTAGAAGGCGATAGACTATCCCTCAGGCAGTCATACAGCTGCCACCAGCTCCATCTCGCTTAGTAAGCTATCCCGAGTTGTCAACAGTTTCTTCAATCAATATGTGGCCGGCACGTGGCGATAACAAGTGTCGTCAGCAAATTTACTTATGTTGCTGTCTACGTCTATATCTATGCCGTTTATGTATATAGTAAATAGTAATGGTCCAAGTACTGAGCCTTCGGGTACTCCACTAGTGACGTCACCCCAATCGGATTTAGTGAATGCTGACTTTCTGTTCTGTTCCCTGTATTGTCACCCTGCTCTAGTCCAGTTTAGAATATTTCCAATTGTGATGGTTATTAAAACTCTCTACACTGTTGTAGTGGTTATTAAATGTCTCTACACTGTTGTAGTGGTTATTAAAAGTCTCTACACTGTTGTAGTGGTTATTAAATGTCTCTACATTGTTGTAGTGTCGGGCCATTAAAATTCGCTGTTCTATCAATACAATGAAACAGTTACCTTATATAATTTGCTATCGATGTTGTACAGTATATATAATTATCTCCGCAGTTTTATGTTTTCATATTTAAATATAACAATCCTGCTTGTAAATAACAGGCGAGTTGGGGCAAGCGCAGCCACTGATTTAATGCAGTTTTTTTTATTACTGTATGTAGTAGCCACCAGCAGGTAAGGCAAGTTATTGTTCGTCATAGTTGAGTGATCGAAAAGTCCCTGTGCACCTACGTCGTTATATACCTTGTTCTACATACAGTAAATATTGGAGATACTTTCCACTTCCAATATTTACTGTAAGTAGAACAAGGTAAATAACTATAGTGTTAATTATTGAAGGTGCACAGGGACTTTCCGATCACCCTATACTGTATTTATTAATTGCCTGGTATGATTTATGAATTACGTCACTGATGTTCATATAAGATGTCAATTACTATACGTAAACAAGATGGAAAGTCTATACAGTATAGTCGACTTGTTCACGTAATGGAAATCTCACATTACTGACTGAGAATTGTTGGCCAAAACTACCTCCAGTCAAGTCTTAAATCCAGTATATAAAAAAATTGAAGCTGTGTCATCCGAAAAAAGTTATCTGAACGTTGTGATACATTATAACTTGAACACAATCAGATGCGGTGGTGGGTGTGTGTGGCGGCGTGTGTGGTGGCGCTGCAGGTGGCTGAGGCTGGCAGGATACTCTTCATGGCGCCCATCTCCTCCAAGAGCCACAAGAACTTCTACATGGGCATTGTCAACGCCTTAGCTGACCACGGTAACCAGGTGAGAGAGAGAGAGAGAGAGAGAGAGAGAGAGAGAGATATTTCTGGTGTTTAAGGTAAGCACAGCACATGTAATATTTTTTGCTTAAATATCACTAATTATACCATTATACTCGCCATCTTTTCCAACTTACAGTACTACCAACTAGCAGCTCTTGTACGCGGTCATCCACCTTATAATTAACTCATCATTACTCAGAACTCAAAGAATCACAATTTTTTTTATTCTTTCTTCCATCACCAAATTAAAGATTTGTTTCGCCTTAAAACCATTATAACTTTTCGTTTGCACAAATCAGTGCACACTGTACACTGTGGAGTCTAGTGGGCTACAAATACTTAAAATAAATTAAATAAGTTCCAGATCACCGATGAATCCCTAAACCCACCAGACGCATTAACTGTCTGGAAAGGAACATATAAATGACGTTATACATAAAGTATACTTTTATATTCCCTGATAAATCGTTCCAAAGTGGGTGTTGATGGCGGCGGGTGGTAAGTGTTGATGGCGGCGGGTGGTAAGTGTTGATGGCGGCGGGTGGTAAGTGTTGATGGCGGCGGGTGGTAAGTGTTGATGGCGGCGGGTGGTAAGTGTTGATGGCGGCGGGTGGTAAGTGTTGATGGCGGCGGGTGGTAAGTGTTGATGGCGGCGGGTGGTAAGTGTTGATGGCGGCGGGTGGTAAGTGTTGATGGCAGCGGCTGGTAAGTGTTGATGGCAGCGGCTGGTAAGTGTTGATGGCGGCGGGTGGTAAGTGTTGTGGCCTTTATCATGATACAGAGCGAACTGACCGTCGTCGTCGGTGCAGACACACACACACACACACACACACAAACCGATTTTAAATAGTTTGCTATGCATGAATTCACCCAAATTACATATTATAATTATTTCATATGATAAATGCAAAATTCCATATGTTACATACACAATATGTTGACAACAGAAATGCAAAGACCTTTAACAGAGTGAAATATATGTAACCATAGAAATTTATAACCATGATTCCACAACTGGCATGAACTATTCAACCAAGAATCTACGTGACATTTTGACCATTAATTAAGAAATAATTAAAATTGTATTATTATTAAGGTTAATACAAATTAATTATATCCATTGGTTAATTTTAATACAGCTCTTAATTTTATCCTATTCACAATTATGCTTCATCACAACGATCGATACATAAAAGCATAAGAATGGAGGAAACTGTAGCGGGCCTATTGGCCCAGACTGGACAGTCCCATTTACACCCAACCCCTATTGCTCATGTATCCATCCAACCTATGCTTGAAGCTATCCAATGTATTCTCGTTAATGATGATGTTTGGTGACTTGTTTTATTCATCTATTACTCTATTTACAAACCAATGTTTACTGATTTCGCGTCTAAATCAAAATTTATCTAATTTAAAACCATTGTTACGAGTTTGCTCCTGGTTGGATAGTTTAAGAACCTTTGTAATGTCCCCTTTGTTTAGCCCTGACTTCCATGTATACACCTCTATCATATCGTCTTTCACTCTACGTCACTCGAGGGAGTGCAAATTAAGATGCTTTAACCTGTCTCTGTACTCGAGGTTCCTAATAAATTATTTCTAGGGATTCTATAGCCATTCTGTAATACGGTGACCAGAATTGAACGACGCAATCCAAGTGAGGTCTCACAATCGAAGGATGTTGTTTTAGGATGACCTCTCTAGTCTTGTAACTAAGACTACTTTGTATGAAACCAAGTACTTTATTAGCCCTGTTTCGAGCAAATACACATTGATTACTTGGCTTAAGATTCCTACTTATCATTATTCCTAAATCTTTCTCACATTCGGATTTCTCTATAACATCGTTGTTCATCTGATATCTGGTTTCTCTGTTTACATCTTCTAGACTCATTACTTTACATTTGCCACATTAAATTTCATCTGCCAATTTTCAGACCATTTCTTTGGTTTTGCAGAATCCTCGTCAGATTTAATAGCATGCCCAATTTTAGTGTCATCAGCAAATTTACTTATGTTGCTGTTCACGCCGATATCTATGTCGTTTATGTATATCATAAATAATAATGGTCCAAGTACTGATCCTTGGGGTACTCCATTAGTGACGTTACTCCAATCGGATTCAGTGCCGTTAAAGCTCACTCGCTGTTTCCTGTCCTGTAACCATGTCCTAATCCATTTTAAAATATCTTCTCCAATGCCACGAGCCTCCAGTTTTCTTATTAGTCTTTTGTGGGGGACTTTGTCGATGGCTTTGTTAAATTAGAGATACCCCCTGTATACCACATCATAATCGTGCCCGACGTCCACTGATTCGAAAAAAGCTGAATAAAAAATTCGTAGATTAGTCAGACGTGAACGCCCACTTGTGAAGCCATGTTGGGAATCATTGAATTCAACTTGTGCTTCTCCAGGTGATTTCGAATGGAGTTTGAAAGTATTGCTTCCAGTAATATGCCTACAATTGATGTTAAACTGATTGAACGGTAGTTAGAGGATAGTGATCTATATCCGTTCTTGAAAATCCGTATTACATTCGCTATCCTCCCGGAATCCGGTACTACACCCGTTTTTAAGAAATGTAAAACAAATTTGATAATGGAACTATGCTCATCCTTACATTCCTTTAATACAAATATCTCATCGGGACCTGTTGACTTATTTGGCTTTAGCTTGTATTTCTTACTAACATCGTTACTAGTCACTACTATCTCGCTTAATCTATTTCCTTCACTATCTCTGTATATAGTCGGTGCCTCGGGAAAACTTCACGATTCACTCACCTACCGAGGGCCTCCCTTTGTCCAATAATATTTTTTAAATAATTTAATTATTTATCTATTTGTGGTCATTGTTGTTTGATATGAGTTTTCTGTATGGCATGTTCTGCCTTTGTGCATTAAGTAACTCATTATTTGTATTGTTGTGAAACTCGTCAACCTCAGATCTCGTGAACAGGTCATCCTCAACCGTAATATTTTGTGATGTTGTCGTTGAGAGGACTTTAGGTAAAGTAAGGTCGCTCTCTGTGGGTACATTATGTGAGGTCACCTGACGTGAGGTCATGTAATTCACCCCCAAATGTGATACTCCTTCTCTCAGCTGTCTTTTCAAGCTGGGACTTGAATTAAATTTTCCTTGCGACTACCATTCTAATTTGAATCTTACTTCTTTGTGATCGCTGTTAGCAAGTTCATTCCATACCACGACATTACTAATGAGATTTTCTCAGTTTGAGAGAACTAAGTCGAATATATTATTACTTCGGATGGGATCGGTTATATGTTGACTATGGAAACAATCCTGAACTAATTTAAGAAAATCCTCTGATTCTGAGTTACCCGCAAGGTTAATGCAATCTATTTGGCTAAATTTAAAATCTCCTATATACAGACTTTGCTTTGTCTGGCTGCTCAGCGCATATCATCCCAAATAAGTCGCTCATTAATCCTGTGAATAATTTTTCCCAATCATCGGTTAATTCTATCCGATTGTTCCTGTATTCAGTTCAGTTTTTATTAATTTATTTATTTCGTACTTCAGATTATCCCTGACATAGATTACTACTCTGCCTCCTTTCCTAATCTGCCTATCGGTATGGAATAATTTATAACCTGCAACTTGGTATTCGACAGGTAACTCACAAGTTTAAGTTTATCCAGGTTTCAGTGAATGCTAACTTATCGATTTTTTCGGTACATACCAACGGCCTAATTTCATCCATGTTGGTTCTTATACTTCTACTGTTTGCGTCGTACATATTTAAGTTAGTCGTGATCCGAGTTCCTTGTCTTTTTTAAGTTTTAACTCCCTGCCTAATTTAGTTTTGTTATCATTCCTAGCACTATTTATCTGTAACCTTTCACTTTGTTTACCCGCTCCCACTTCATTCTCCTCGATCCCCATGCTCACATGCTCCCCTTGCAGTTTAAAAACTTCGACGTCTTTTGAACTGCCCACTCGAGAGATCCAGCCAGGGTTACATCCCCATCTCTAGCAAAAAGGTCCCCTTTGCCATAAAAGTTGTCCCAGTTGTCAATGAATGGAACTGATATCGACTTGCAATATCTGTCTAGACCAACTGCCCTTGACAACCATTCATTGCTGTCTTGAACTTATCAAGGAGCTCCTCACTCCTACACCGGCCAATATTATTACCACAATATATTGTCTATCTTGTCAACTATATCCCCCACCCCAGTTCCTGGCAAACACACCTTCATCTTATTTTAATGTTGCCACAAAAAGCTCTATCCAGGTACCGTACCTGGAAATCGCCAACAATTCAGGTTTTTGTACCTTCCCTGTCAGTCCTGTCCCTGACTATGCTAACGTCCAATTCGTCTATTAAAGGACTAAAAGAATTTTTACACTTAGCCGTTGTTATTTCTTTGGTGTCTTTTCTCACCACCAGTTTGGTCGTTCTTCTTCTCATAATATTCCATTCGCTTGCGTTTTCGTCAGACTCGGGCTTTCCTTGTCTCGTGTCTTCTTCCTTCATCCTCGCTATAACTTCCATTAATTTCAAGTTTTCGTCCTTGACCTTCACTAACTCGGCCACTAGCTCGGCCCTCAGAAGGGCACAGCTCTGTTCACAAGTAGCACTCGCCGTCACTGACAATCATTATTATTATTTTTTTTATTTAGGCACCCCACTACATCCTTTTGTAAGGTGAAGCGCCGAAGCATTTACAGCACCCAACAGGGAAGCATGCTAAGTTCATGCTTGCCTTTATGTCTCATGAGTTAAGGGCGTAAAAGCCTGAAGAGTCCATGGTTTTATATCACCAAGTTATTGGAAGCTCCAACACCTTTACCTGAATACGAATTCGCAACTTTCGACTTACAACAGGTACCTACTTTACTGCTAGGTGAACAGGGACCAATGAGGGCTAGGAAGTATGTCCGAACAACTTTTCCACCGGCCCGGGAATCGAACCCGTGACATCTCGCTTGCGAGGCAAGAGCGGTACCGGTCTACCAACGGCGCCCCTACAATTAATCCCCGGGAACTAAGTCTGCCGTGACCTTTCCTCTAGCGAGGTCAGAACACCACTCAATGAAAAGCATTTGGGATAATCTCAAGATCGCCCAGCTAATTTCATCTGATGATTTAAACAACTTGACTTAATCTAGTTCTATATAACTTTACTTAAAGGCAACCTACCCTAACCTAGGCTAACTTAAGTAATATAATCTAACCTAACCTAAAGTTAACCTAGCCGAACAAAACGCTAACTCTCCCTAACCTAACCTAACCTAACCCAACCCAACCCAACCCAACCTACCTTCTCTAGGTATAGCATAAGGGTCAAATTAGCTGCCCTGCCTATAATCTTTAGGTGACCTATCATTGAAAAAGTGAAACGACAATATTTTTCACGTTTCAATTCATTTAAAAATTATGTTATTGTTACACAAAGATTTGTGAGAGAGTCGCAATGCAAGACAATGTCATTTATTTTGTTAAGGAATTTGTTAGTTTTACATATTGGTTAATCATTGTTTAGTTTATGGGAGTCCATTAGTTAGGTGGGGGAAATATTCGTCAAATGCAGTAGTAGTCACAGAATACGCATTATGCAAAGGTTATAATGCTCCCTACAATATATGTACAGATTATAATAGTGTATCCAATGTACATACACAGATTACAATGGTGTCACCCTACAAGCCAGCCAAGGAGAGGACCAACGTGAGAGAGGTGGTGGTAACAAACGTGGATATTCTGAAGGTTATCCCCAATCTATTTGAAGGGAATAAGTTCTCTGGTCCTAAACACCTGATGTTGGCTGTGCCCACTATGTGCTCTGACGCCCTGTCCTCGGACGAGATGCAAAATTTGTTGAAAGAGAAATTTGACTTGATTCTTCTCAGTGCATTCCTGGGAGACTGCCTCCTGTCTGTGGTTCACCAACTGAAGGTAAGTTAAGTGTACTGTTTTGGATTTTTTCTGATCACCTGATGATTAGTTCCTCTCAGTTTATTTCTTAAGATGATTAAACTCCCTTACTCAACCCGGGGGTTAGGTTAGCGTTAGGGTGTTTAATCTTAAGGTGAAGTAAATTAAGGGGGGCCATTCTTCATTAGTTGTGTATATTTTGATTCTGTGGGTATTCGTATCACTAAAGAATGAACGTCACTGAAGCCTTATCCTCAGAAATATAATTACGACAACATAAATCAGGAACTGGTCGTGAGCTGCATCATTTGTGGACTAATCAGTTAATAAAATATTAGACTGCATATGGCTGCCTGGCGTGGCTAATATGTTTAATTGGCTCACATGAAGAATAGCCCCTTTAACTTATTTCACCTGATGATTAAACACCCCAATGTCATCTGGGAGGCGAGGAAAGGGGGGGGGGGTACATTAGGTTGCTGCCTTTTTAGAAAGCTAAGGGACCTTCCCTTACTATACATGGGTCTGGTACGAGAAGTGCGATGCTGTATGGTAGTGAATCGTGGGTAGTTAAGGAATTTGACGTACGGAGGCTTGAGTGGGCTGAAATGAGAATGGTGAGGTGGATGTGCAATGTGACACTGAAAGACACGAGCCCTATTTAGAGCTAAGACGGCGGCTGGGTATTGAGAGTATTAGCGAAGTTATGTGTGAAGGCAAACTGAGGTGGTTTAGGGCATATGGAAAGCATGTATGGAGGAGACCAGTGCATGAGCCTAAATGCGTAAGCAAAGAGAGAGCCAGAGGGTAGACAAAGAGTGACATGGAGAGGGGTTGTAAGAAATGACGTCAGAGTTAAGAATCGACAAGAAAGACTGCAAGAGACCATGAATTATGGAAACGTGCTATAAGATGATCACGGTTAACCTATGCAAGTGAGGAAAACAGCTGTGAAACGTTGATGATAATGAAGTTAAGTTAGGTTAGCGTTAGGTTAGATTAGGCTGAGTGAGGTGAGGTTACGTTTGGTTAGCATTCAGGCGCTTAATCATATGTTGAAATACGATAGAGCTAAAATTCATGCGATTCGGTTAATTTCGAATTTAAAATACCAATAACATTTCTCTTTCTCTCTCACCAGTTGCCTTTCATATACGTGAGCCCAGCAGGAATGATGTCACCTTTCACTTCACTGGTCGGCAATCCAGACTTCCCGTCCTTCGTTGTGAACCCCATGCTGGAGATGAGACACCCCTTGACCTTCACCCAGCGAGCGATCAGTACCTTGAGTGGTGCTGTGTTTGATGGCATCTTCAACTTCTACATCGTGAGCAGGTAAATATTATCATCAATTATTATCAACAAGTAAATAGATATACATTATAGCTAGTCAGTATATTTACACATTCAACGCAGGTATATAAATAGACAGTAAAGGTATACAAACAATGTACCGAGATAGAGCTGGTATACAATGTACCGAGGCAGTGCAGGTATATACAGACAATGCTAAACAGCATTATATAATAAAAAATATTATCACTGGTGTTTTGTATAGACTGTGCTTTATATTATTATACTAGTCAGCTTCTCATACAGGATAGTTGTAGAAACTTTGAGAACAGTTCAGTAGAAGGACCAGAATAACCACTGATAACAAGAGACGCACCACCAGCATAGCTGCTGACTATTTTCTTGTGGTGGAGGACACGGTGGAGTATGGACTGTGTTGGGGGTATGGACACTAGATAATACGATGTGATGCTCTGCAATACGTTGACAAGTTGCCGATCACATACACACACACACACACTGTGCAGGTATTGTAGTCATGTCTCTTAAAACTTAAAAAAACAAATCATAGAAGCCATGTTTAATATAATATTTATGTATTGCTGTACCCATCTCTTCAATATTGAGGCATTTAATATACCCGCATCCTTCACAGCGTGGAGGCAGAATGTCGACGGCGCGGGCTGTGTCCAGATGATATGCCCAGCCTTTCGGAAATGCGACGAAACAACAGCCTTTTGATAATAAACAGGTGCGTGGCAGCTGTTACGTTAGGCTACCCTCACTTCTCGTACTCTTAAATTCCAGGTATTTGCAATTTTTAAGTCTTATTAGCAAAACCCCCGGGAGGTTTTCCTCCACAGATGCAGGGGATTAGACCTGTTTTATAATCATCTATAAGTTTAGTTCTATTAGCTGAAGATGTGCCCCCACCCCACAGCTTTCTTAACCTAACGCTAAACTACCATAACCTAACCTAACACGTAACAATGGTTATAAATTAGACAAATTTAGATTTAGGCGCGAAATAGGTAAACACTGATTTGGAAATAGTGTAATGGATGAATGGAACAAGTTACCAAACATCACCATTAACTCGAATACGCTGGATAGCTTCAAACATATGTCGGAGGGGACATAATTATTAGCAATAGGGGTTGGGTGTAAATGGGACTACCCAGTATGGGCCAATAGGCCCGTTGCAGTTTTCTTCAGTCTTATGTTCTTATGTACTTTAACCTAATCTAACACTAAGCCAAACTAACCTAACTTCATGCTAATCTACCTAAACGGCTAAACCTAATAGTTCAGGACTATTTCCTAAATCAACATACAGACGAACACCTCTCAGGGTAATAATATACTAGATTTAGTTCTGTCAAACAGAGAAAACTTCATTAGTAATGTCGAGGTAGGGAACGAATTCGCCAACAGCAATCACAAAGAAGTGAGATTTAAGTAGAACTTTTTGTCAGTCGAGAAGAAAATTCCACTAAATTCCCTGATTTCAGATGGGCAAACTTTGATAGGTTGAAAAGGCAGCTGAGACAAGGGGTATTATGTTTGCGGGTAAATACATGACCACACACAATGTACTCACAGAGGGCGACCTCACTTTACCTGGTGACCTGACAACGAAAAACCCACAAAATATGACCGCTGAGGATGACCTGATCACGAGATCTGAGGTTGACGAGTTCAACAACAATTTAAATAATGAGTAAATTTTTTTTTACGAGGATTAGCCCACCCAGGCACATGTCACTGACCCACACCGGGGACTGGGGGTCGAACGTCATTGATGACTGTGGAGACAACCCCATAGTCTTACTCAGTGGAGGAGGCAATGACGTAGGTAAGCTTACCAGTGTCGAACTGCGTAAACTGTATAGGGAAGCTCTAGATAAGATTAGGGTGAAGGGTGGAACTCCTATTGCTTGCTCTATCCTACCTAGACGTGGTGCCAGTCGTGAATGGATGTCCCGTGCAATTGGTTTCAATTGCTGGTTCGAAGAACAGTGTAAAGAGCTGTCGACGCCATTCATTGATAGTTGGAGCCTGTACTATGGTGATGATTGTATGTATGCAAGGGATGGGGTGCATTTAAGTAGGAAGGGGGTGGCGGTGCTAGCGAAGATAGTTGACAGGGTAGTAAAGGTGGGGTTTTAATATGTCCAAATCCCATCAATGGTAAAGAGAGGAAAATACCATGTGAAAATAACAGCAGTGAAACAGAAGTAGATAATGCTGAAAATATAGTTAGTCATAATAACAAACATTAAAGTAATAAATGTAAAACAGATAGAAACGGAAGAAATATATTGAGTGTTTATTATACTAATAGTAGAAGCCTATGTAACAAAATGGACCAGCTCAGGGCCATTGTTAGTAAAGAGAACATAGATATAATTGCAATAACGGAAACATGGATAAATTCAAACAGCAAACATTTTTTAGCAGAATTTCATATTCCAGGATATAACCTATTTAAATTTAACAGAGTAGGAAGGAGAGGGGGCGGTGTAGCAGTGTATATCAGGGTGTCATTAAAAAGCTGCAATAAATCAAACATTAAAACAAATAGCGACAATGAAAGTATTTGGGTAGAGATTGGTGAGGGCAATGAGTCTGTAGTCATTGGTGTTATATATAGACCACCTAATTTGAGTAGGAACGATGGTAAATTGCTATGGGAGGAAATAAAGAAGGCATCTGATAGACACAATGTATGTATTCTAGGCGATTTCAACTTTTCAGGCTTAGATTGGAAAAATCAACTTAGTGATAATGAATCTGAAGATTTTCTAGAAGTAGTACAAGATAGTTTTTTTATATCAATTCATAAACTCGCCCACTAGAGGAAATAATATCCTCGATTTAGTTCTCAGTAATAATAAAAATCTAGTAAAAGATGTTGGGATTGGAGACGAAATAGGAAACAGTGATCATAAACCCATATATTTTAACATAATATGGAATGGCAGGAAGAAGGAAAATTCGGCCTTGATCCCGGATTTTAGGAAGGCTAATTACGGTAGCTTAAGGAGAGACCTAAGGGATGACCCTGTGGTCAAAAGATTAATCCCCCCACACCTCCGGAAACTGTCAACTTAGGACGGGAGAACCCCGAATTTAATTTAGCAGCTACTTATGAACAATTTATTGGGACAATCCATAATGCTCAAAATAAACACATCCCTAAAAGAAAATTCAGATCGATACGGAACCAACCAAAATGGAT